CACAGGATAAACAATACAAACACAAAAACGGTTAAGCAGTCTTACCATTATAAAGAGACCACCATTTTGTTCAACTTCAGCAGTTTCCATCAGAAGTTCAATTGCCTTTTTGTTCCCAATAATCCTCACTACTCGAGCTATCAGGTCTTTCTTTGGTTCCTGTAACCTGATGAGAAACAAATAAGTAAAATTAACCTCTGTTTGTTGTACAAAGTTGAAGAAATCTACCTGAGTCTCCAGCTTAGTCCCCAGCTAGAATAAAATCTGATTCCAGCAACACCTGGTTTCCTAAATCTTCAATATTTAATCTTGGAATCACTGACATGTAAACATTCCTAATCTTTGGTCACAGGAGAAGGTAATCTCAAGTTTCCATCTAAACTCTCATATTTGGCTTATTTGCCATACTGTATTGCAGTATATTTCAAAATGCACATACAGCACGACGAATGCAGGCCCGAATGCAAAAGAAGATAAAGCCAGTCCACTATTGTCAAAATAAATGACAGACATATACGCTTTCAATTATTATGCCTAAAAGCTAAGGCTGTCTAACTCCAGAGATGGCTGGAGCTTTACAATGGGATAGGACCTTTCCCTCATAGACTCCCTGCCTCAGAACAAAAAATAGAAATAGCTAATATTTACTGATGGCTCATTATTATTACAGTAAGCATAATCCTAAGAACCTTACATGCACTATGCCAGTTGATTCTCTCAAGAATGTACAAGATAACGGCCAGGCACGGTGGCTCACGCCTGTAATCCCAGCACTTTGGGAGGCTGAGCTGGGCAGATATCTGAGGTCAGGAGTTCGAGACCAGCCTGACCAACATGGAGTAACCCCGTCTCCACTAAAAATACAAAAAAAAGTAGCCAGGCCTGGTGGCGCATGCCTGTAATCCCAGCTACTCGGGAGGCTGAGGCAGAATTGCTTGAACCTGGGAGGCGGAGGTTGCGGTGAGCTGAGATGGCGCCATTGCACTCCAGCCTGGGGAACAAGAGCAAAACTCCATCTCGAAAAAAAAAAAAAAGAATGTACATTTTCATTTTGTCATTGAGATTTTAGAAACATAGGTAGCCTAAGTAATTCTTCCAGTGTCAAAGCTCACACTCTCAACAGATCAAGAATTCAGCTGGGTGCCATGGCTCATGCCTGTAATCCCAGCACTTTGGGAGGCTGAGGTGGGCGGATCACCTGAGGTCGGGAGTTTGAGAGAACAGCCTAACGTGCAGAAACTCTGTCTCTACAAAAAATACAAAATTAGCTGGGTGCGGTGGCGCATGCCTGTAATCCCAGCTACTCGGGAGGCTGAGGCAGGAGAACTGCTTGAACCCTGAGGCAGAGGTTGCAGTGAGTTGAGATTGCACCACTGCACTCCAGCCCGGGCAACAAGAGCGAAACTCCGTCTCAAAAAA